CCCCCCCCGTTCTAATCTCCAGTGACCTTTCACCCCAGGGAGCAGCACTGAGCTTGCGAGGTGTGATGTAGGGGCAGTGGACCAGAGCAGGCATCGGCCAGTTAAGAATGGCCTCAACATCTCAAGTGGTTGAAAAAGTCCAAAGATTTCATTTCCCATGAAATTGAAGTTTCAGTGTGTAGAGTTGCAGTGGGGCCCAGCCCAGCCTTACGGCCTGCCTTCCCTGGGAAGGTTTGCCGGCCCCCGCTGTGTACAGAGTGAACCTCTGTGGCTTTGTCCCCTTGGTTGCCCAGAGGCCTTTTGGTTCTCGACTGTCCTGGCCTTGGCTGAGCTGCCCTGTGTTGGAGGGGCAGCCTGAGATTGTTGACTGAGGGAGGGGTCATGGTGTTGGCTGGGAGGGGACAGACTGTAAGGCATGGAGGGTGAGTGCGAGTGCTGTGGGGACTCTGGCGCCCACGGCAGCAAGAAAGTGGAACTGAAGTGGTATTTGCTGTTTAAGAAATCAATGTGTGTATTTTCAGATTGGTTTCCCAAGAACATGTTAGTGACTTGGGGACAGGGCTTGTGAAGATTAAGCGCCTTCTCCCCTCTGCTCAGTGAGGGGCTGTTGTGCACGGGGTCCCAGGGCATTCCACGTGGTTGCCAGGTTCCTCCTCATCTGGCCCAGGGAGCCGCCCACAGGCAGCTCTGGAGGGCAGGCAGGCTGAGCGCCCCCCTCCCTGGTTGGCATGTCGTAGCTCTGCTGTGTCCAGGGGCTGCAGTAAGGCTTGTGTTGCACAGTGGTCCTGTCCCCGACCCAGTACTTCCACTCTGAGCAGACTGAGGAGCCTGGGTGCCTGTCCTGGCCTTCCACGACAAGCATCCCTGTCAACCATTGCCTGACACATGTCCTGACACTTGCCTGTCTCTCAGACTCAGTCTCTGGCTCATTAACCCCCCGCTTCCTCTGGTCTGAGATCTGTACTTTCCTCATATTAAAAGGCTGGTCAGCTTGGTGGCTGACAGAACCATTTCCCCAGGTGCATGGCTTTCACGGCTTGTCCCCATGACTCTGGTTTTCAGTAACACGCGGGAGAAACGGCTCGCTGACAGCACACCTGCTTGTCCTCAAAGCATTCGTTTAGGCAGCAACTGGGAACTGCTGCGAACTGGCAGTGTGATCACTTGCTGCGCAGCCAGCATGGCCACGTCTGTGACCATTAAACTGTCTCTTAACCTTTGCTTGTTCTAGGTGACTGAGAACTTGGCCTCCAACGAGGAGTTCACTAGTTACGGTAAGCTGCTTCCTGTCTGTCTCCATCACTGTCTCTACAAGCACCGTGGGACATAGAGTTGAGGACATGGGTTGAGGGGGCAGGCACAGGGGGCTCCTTCAGCTGCAGCTGACCCCCTTCCTCAGGATCCTGGCTAGGGACACTTGTGTCCCTAAACTCAGGCAGTCACTCTGTTCCCCTTCTCCTCCTCTCACTGTAAGAAATGAGGGCATTTAAAGCATCAGAATGACAGTCATGGTAAACGTTCCAAAAGATAGAGAATCCAGTCTCCTCAGCCCAGACCTACCGCATGGCCTGGGAGGAGCCCCTGGAATCTCCATCCCTCCCCACACCCCGGGGCCAGTGCACCCACAAACCAGAGGCATCTGACCCCACCCCTATTTCAGACGAAAAGGATTTATTTGAATGAGGTCTGGGTGTTTTAGGGCAGATCACAACCTGGACAGTGCCATGCCTTGACTGCTAGACCTTTCAGTGGCCTTGGGAGATGGGTTCGTGTTTTGTGCCCGCCCTCGCAGAGGAATTTTGCCCAAATGTAGAACTTCTTGTCAGCAAGAGGGATTTATAAACGAATTTCAAAGTGAAGTGTCTGCAGAAGATTAATTTGCTGTTAATTAACATGCTTTATCAGTGTGTCCTCAAGGGAAAGACCTAAGCCGAATTAAGGAATTAAAGTCTTCCCTGGAAGGGAATTTAAGGATTGAGATGGATTAGCCACAGTTGGGGTTCGGTGGGCACAGCCCATGCCCAGCAGATGGCGTCCTCTTTGCTGAGGCTCCCACCCTCTGCCTGTGTCTGGAGCTGCCCAGTCCCTTTATCCAGAAAGGCCGAGCTTCCCCAGAGGCCTGGGGACGTGCTAGCGCAGAGCCCGTGAATAAGCTATGTGACCAGGAGAGGCCCGCCTGGGGCGCACGAGACCCTTTGTTCCAACGTCCTGCCTCTTGTTTTTCAGATTCAACATGTTCAACAGAAGCCATCCCCAACCCAGCTTAAATTATATAGAAAATAACTTTGTTCAAATCTGCGTGGTGCTTCTTTAGTAAATACTGTACAGATTTTACCATGGAGAACTTTTTTTTTAGTTTTTACCTTTTCTTAATTACCCTTATTCCAAATGGACGAACACTTTCTACAACTGCTGAGCATTGTAAAATACCGTGTATATAAATCACATTAAAAATAACGCCCTGGACTAGAACATCTCCAATGCTGCTTAACCACAGACTCAGGTTGATCTCGTGCTCCATGTAATGCTCCTCCAAGTAAGGCCCGGTGCCGACCAACCGGGAACCATGGGGTTGCTCAGTACAAACAACTGACAGTGTGTATATTTAATTTAAAGACTTATTTAAAGACCCACAAGCTCTCAACCAGACTTTGAGAGCAGTGTTTTCTGTAATGTCTGATACTAGAAACTAATTCGCTTCATATTTTAGTTGTATTCAAGATTTGAAGGTGTATTTTATAGACAAGTTCTGTTTTTGAACTTTGTGGAGCTATTCCAATCAACTTACCGGTTATGATGAGTATTTACATTATGAATGTATAATCCAGACATTATTTGTAAAGCCTACAGTACGTTTTTTATTACATAACACTTTTTATACAGTGTCTCTTGTCTTGACTATGATATTGGAGTCTGAGTTGTCAGCTTGGTCCCTGAAAAGTTTCTAGTTACAGACAAAATCATACTGTGATTTTATTTTTAATATGGATATGCTATCAAACTGTGATACACTTATAATTCACTGGTCCTGCATCAGGAGACGGAGTGGGGAAAACTGTATTTAATACAGTTTGTATCTGAATAATCTGTATGGTTTATACAGTTTGTGTTGTTCAGAGATGTCTAAAGTTTGATCTTTGTTTTTTTAAAGATTAAAAAGCACTTGCCCCACTGTAAATATACAGCATGTAAAATTTATATAGTATATAAATGGCAGCAAATTAAACATTTGTGTGTCTTTTTTACTGCTGTCTGCTTAGAGACGTGTCGCATGACTTCCTGTTGCCTTCGCTTTTGGAAAACCACCAAAGTGCAAACTGCGGGGCCGGGCCTGGGGTGCAGACGGGTGGTGAGGGGGTTGCTGGACCCGGGAATCTATTTTAAAGAACCAAGTCTTAGGCAGTCTTGTAACAACGCATTTCGGGTTTATTTAGTGAACACCGTATTTGCAATTTGACAGCCACACACCATCCAATTTTACTATTTACTTTACAACAAAACATCAATGTGGGGTATTTCTTCATGCAAGTTGTGAGCGTATGTACACTTAATGAAACACTCCAGAAGGCAACATGTATGTACATTATTTACATACTAACCACATTTACTGTAAGTAGAAATGTCTTCCAGAAAAAATAAAACGAGAAATCACATGTGGCTTCTAAAGAGACCTAACTTTTCGGCAAAGCACATCTGTGTAGGTATATGCATGTCAACGTTAAAAACAGGCATTGCTTCATCTATGAAGAGCTTCTATTTGGACTGTTTGGTACCACATTAAACTGCTCAAAAGTGTTCCGTGACCCTGAGGACGCCTGCTTGTCCGAGTTCAGGGTCGACCAGCTAAGCCTCCCTGCTAACCGAGGCCTGGGGGCTGCGGAGCTCCTGCTCCCGCCCAGCGTGCCCCCCCACCTTTGTCTTGGGGGGAGCGTGTCTTTGGCCAGAGTGGGGATAATTCAGCACTGAGCACAGATGGGGCAGGAGGAGGGACACCATCAAACAGATCCAGGCACCAGGCCTGCCTGAGGGCTCAGTGGGGTGACGGCTACATGCCTGTTAGGTTAATACTGTCACAAGGAAACCTGGAGTTAGGTGACACTGGCGTAACACTGGCGGCAAGGACACAGGCTGAGCACCATGGCTCTCTGCGCCTTCCTGGGAAATGGCCAGAGAAACATCCTGCCCGGGCCTCCTTAGGTCCCCTTCTCCCACCCCCCTGAGGCCCGGCCCGGCCCGAAAGGCAGGCAGCCCTGCACCCGCAGGCTCCTACCTGGGTGAAAGGACAGTGTCCACGGGGAAATACTGATGTCGCTGGCAGGCAGTCCTGGGCCCGGAGCCAGCCTGAGGGGTCGCGGTGTTTGGCTGCTGGGCGGGGCAGCGACTCTGTTCATGGAAGGCGGAGGCCAGAGTTGCATAGGGAGCGGTCGGGCATCTCGAGAACGGTGACTTGCCTTTCTCAAAACTAAAGCTTCGAATCTGAGGTATCGGTACAGTAACAAAGCCTAAGAGCTCGGGAACAAGCCAGAAAAACCAGTTTGCTGCGTGCTGGCGGGTCGTGGGCTCAGACCCTTTGCAGTCTAGTGTTACTTAAAGCTACAAGGTCGGCAGCTCCGAGGCCGGGGGCCCAGAGCCACCAAGTCTCAGCAAGGAACTCACAGGAAGTACCTTCTGCCGTTGGCATCTCCACGTAAGTGCATAGGTCAGTCTGAGGTTCTCCTTCCTGGACTTGGACTTTACACAGGAGGAAGGACCTCTAAAGGGTGTGCAAGTTCAGGGCATGACTATGCAGACGGGACAGGGAGAGGGGCTCCTGTGGGGTCAGGGACCCACTGCCAGGACAGCCCAGGTGGGCAAGGCCATCCTGGCCATGGACATACAACCCCCAAGACAGATAAAGGCATGTGTCACCGGAGAACCAGAGGCGTCCGAGCACGTGGCCTCCAGCCCCGCCCACCTGCACACCACGGTCCAGTCGGGATGTGCTGGGAGCCCGATAACTTATCCCGACAGCAGCCTGATCACCGGCCTTCACAAGTTCCACCACCAGGGAGTACATGGGGTTTAAACTATAGGAAGCCTAAGTGCCACACATCATCCCGCAGCTCGCTCCCCTCCCCGCCTAATGGGAGACTGAAGCTCTGGAAACACGGGATGAGATGAGCTCTAGTTACCTGCACGCAGTCCTGTTATATTAAGAAATCTGGTCAGTGAGCAGAGCAGTGATACACCCAACCAGCCATTTGCCCAAAGGTTTAGAATAGCGAAGTCGGTGGTCACAAGCTGGCCTGACCCATGCATTCTGTTGCACCGCATGAAACTGCTGCTTGTGGGGGTCAAAAACAGTCCGACGGTGGTGTTTTCATTCAGAACAACACGTACACATCTGTGCTGGGGCTCAGCAGTTACGGGACTAGTGCCCCCAACCACAGATTTTAACTGGCCCTTTTAGAAAGTTTCTGTGGGGCCACCAAGTCTGAGCTGAGAGGTTCCAGGGGAATCGGACACCTGAAGCCCTGCCGTGTTCGAGGTCCTCAAGGACACGGTCACCTCCCTGCCCCAGGAGGGACGAGGGCACCCGCAGAGTGGTGGCACTCGGAGTGACAAGTCCCCACACAACCCCCACCCCCGGCCGCTGCATATATAGTGTCTGTGTAACTTCTCAGTGCACAGTATATACTTGTGTCAGGAGTTAGATTTATAGCTGCCATTCTAAAAATACTACTATTAGAAAGTAAGTATCTTTCATTATAATTTCAGAATATAAAAAGGCATATAAAAGCTATAATCCTATATATCTGAGAAAAAAATCTGAATAAAAAAGCAGTAGCTTTTCCTTCCTGTTTTGATATAAGACAGAGGCTTCTAGAACAGCGAACACCGCCACAAATGAGCACGTGTGGCGACTGCTACAAGCGAGGTACCGTGGACAGGCCTCGCCCAAGTCCACTGCACAGATTGTCGCAGCTGAACTCCCAGGCGCCGCTGCCACTTGGAACCGCGGGGAGGACATCTGTGGGCACGGGCTGCTGAGGCCCGGGAGGGCTGGCGGGAGGGAAACGCCCGGCGTCGCTCACCAGACACGGCACAGAGGCTTCGGAGAACCCGTGGCACCCTCGAGGCCACAGGAGCGCGTTGGCACTGAGGCGCCGCGTCCTGGGCTGCCTCTGGAAAAGGCCGCCCAGGGTCCAGGGAGTCGTGGGGAGGCCGCCCGGTCACTTTCTGCGTGGGGTTTCAGTTTTTACTTTTACCTGTTTGGGCAGGAAAGCTACTTCTTATTGGCGACCCTCCTTTTCCGCGCGGCCAGCATGTCGTAGAAGGGGTCCCTGCTGATGCTGGCTCTGTAGAGAGACGGACATGGCGCGCTCAGCACGCCCGCCCGCAGCAGCCGGCAAGCCCCCGACCAGGACAGAGGCGACCTCCGAGCGTTGGAGGTGCACGCGGCAGACGCGCACACGCGTGCACACACACACTCTCCGACTTCACTGTGGGAAAGAAGCGGACCCAGAGCCCCAGCACCTGGGCCCTGATTCACAACGCAAGAGGCAAGTCCGGCCGCCTCCGTGAACGCCTCAGACACGTAGCCAGGCCACCCCCCTGCTCCTCGGCTTCAGGGATCACGATTTCGACAGGTGACCTTTCAGGCGACTTGTTCATTTTCCCTTCCTGCGCTTTCAACCCCTCCTCTTACGAGAGCTTTACGTTGACCAATAAAGAGCGCGCCCTTAGCCCTGGCCAGTTTGGCTCAGTGGTTAGAGAGTTGTTCTGTGGACTGAAGGGTCCAGGGTTCGATTCCAGACAAGGGCACGTACCTCGGTTCCAGGCCCGGTTCCCGGCCCTGGTCGGGGCTCGTGCAGGAAGCAAACAGTCGATGTTTCTCTCCCTCCCTCCCACTCTCGCTAAAAAGCGATGGACAAAATATCCTCGGGTGCGGATTTAAAAAAAAAAGCAAGCCCTCAAAACCCTAGGCTCCCCCAATAAAAGCAGGAACCAGGCCCGAGGGCACACCGCCCACGCCTCCCTCCCCGAGGCTGCGCGGCCCACGCGGGCTGTGTGATTTCCACGTCTTCTAAGTAATAAACCTGCATCTGTTCAGTTCCCTGAGGGTGGCTGCCGAAGGGCGTCACCAGTAAGCACACGGGTGCCAGGCCTCACCTGATGGACTTCATCCACTCCTCCTTCTCCTCGGGGCTGGGCGCCGAGATGCGGTACACCACGTGGTTGCCCTCCACCACGCGGCCGTCAGCCTCCGTCTTACAGGCCTTGATGACCTGCCCTTTGTGGCTCGGGTTATACAGCTCGAAACAGTTCTGGTGGGGACAGAGAGGGCCGTCAGCGAGGGCC